GCAGGGAGCCCGATGCGGGACTCGATCCCGGGACCCCAGGACCATGACCTGAGCCGAAGGCAGTCGCTTAACCAACTGAGCCACCCAGGCGCCCTAAATAAATAAAATCTTAAAAAAAAAAAAAAAAAGGCCAGAGCAAGAATCCATTCCATTCCACCAGACTGGCATAAGTCAAAAGTCAGACAATACCAGTATTGGGAACTCTCATCTGCCCTGGGTGAGGGGGTAAAGTGGAACTTTCATGTCATTACTTTTATTTCATGTTGATTTTGGTGCGTATTGTCTGTTCACATAATAGTATATACATAGTATATTCACATGAGAGAATATTCTCTCCAGTGCAAGTGAACAAACTTTAATTACAGACATCAACATGAAAGGATCTCACAAATAGAATTTTGAGTGAAAGAAACAAATTAGGAATACATACAGTATAATTCCATTTGGAAGAAAAATTTAAAAATAGGTCCAAGTAAGCAATATGTTTCCTAGAAATACAGACATAGGCAATAAAACTCTAACACAAAGCAACAGAGCTATTATCATTAAAATCTAAGATAATGGATACTGCTGGGAGGTAGATGTGGGGAATATGTTCTGGAAGAAACACATTGAAACTTGAAAGTTATTGGTAATATTTGATTTCTTAACCTGGATTTTAATTACATGAAGCTCAGTTTATTCTTAACATTTAACATTCTTACATGTTCCAATACTCATCTATATTTGGGATGTATTTTTTACACCTGCATGCGCGCGCACACACACACACACACACACACACACACACACACTCTTTGAGGATGGAGAGCTGGACAACCCCACTTATGACTGGGAGTTACCTTTCTCTCCTCAGGACTATACGATCACGATGTTTTTTCATCAAACCTGGAAAGATCCACGTTTAGCATACCATGAGACCAACCTGAACTTGACCCTGGACTATCGGATGCTGGAGAAGTTGTGGGTCCCTGACTGCTACTTTCTAAATAGCAAGGATGATTTTGTGCATGATGTGACTGTGGAAAATCGCGTGTTTCAGCTTCATCCAGATGGAACAGTGCGGTATGGCATCCGGTGAGTTTCCCCAGGGGCTTGAGGACCATCCTGGCAGGCTTCCTTCTTCCCCCTGAGTAGCCTATGAATGCACTGTAAGGGACACACGAAGGACCCTGTTGCTGTCGTGCACTGCCCCCTCACCCATCCTATCCAGTAGTCAAAGGGAAACCTTCAGAGTTTCCCACAGCCATCCTTGGCTCTCCTGTCCCCACACCTTGCCCATCCTTCAATCCCTAACTTAAATGCCCTCTTTGTCAAGACACCCTCCTTGATTTTCTCAATTCGAAGAGCTCTCCCTCCACCTTAGCATTGTACACATTCTGTTATTTATCTTTGTTTCTTTTCTCTCCCATGATGTGAGGGAGGGAGACAAATGAATGCTGAGGGAGGGGGCCCAATCTCTGTCGTTGGTCATATCTGCATCATGCAGGGGGCCCAGGGTGTGCAATATATGTCTGTTGTCTATGGCTCCCTGCACATGGGATACACACACGCTGGAAATCCTCCCTGGTTTATTTATAGTCACTGAGGCTCTCCTCACGGCATCATCTCTTACAAACTATCACTTAAGACAAGCATAAGAGACAAGTGTAGCTCAGAAAATTTCTCCAAGAGGTAGTTGCACCAGGGTTCAGCCCCTGTCTCTGAGTCTCTCTTTCTCTGGGGTGCTCCTGCTCTATCCCTTTGTTTCTCTCTGCTTTCTCCATGGTGCAAGGTGCTAGAGTGAAAACAACAACAAAGCTTGCAGAGAACAAGGTCACTGGTCATACTTGTTTCATTTAAAGGGGGCCTCAGCTGATAAATGCTGCGTGGAGGATTCATGGAAGGGACACACACACACACACACACACACACACACACACACACCCTACCCAGCGTACAAAATGGAAATCACTTCAAGGGTTGAAAGGGACAAGGCCTCGTCTCCCTTCTATGTGGTGGGTCACTTCTCCCACTTCCGCAGCTCCTCCGAGATCCTTCTTCAGATTCCCCTCACAGACCCACCATGTGGCAACTTGAAGCCCCTGCCCAACACTCCACAGCCCACCTTAGATATGTTAATACTTCCTACCCATGTATACCTCCTACTGTCGTTTTGCTCAGCCCCAGTGGCCTATGTGCGTATAGGCAGACACATGGAGAAGAGAGCGCTGTGGGAGCAGAGGCCCCACAGCCAAAGGTGGGCCTGGGCTACGGCTCACATCCACACGGGCATACCACATACGGGCACTCCACATTGGATCGGGCACCTCAGCTGCTTCAGTGTAGCACCATTTCCTATTGACAGCCTTGCTCCTTCTTCAGCAAGAAGGTCCACTTTCTGTCCCTCCATCCAGTTTCCTCAAGGGCCCTTCCCATTCTGCTGCCCTGAGGTTCCCTGTCAGACCTCTTGGTTTCTCTGCCACATACACATTCCCTCTCTCCTCCTACACAACTGTGACCCAGCTTTCCTCTAGGAGGAAGGAAAGGAAGAGGAAAAAGAGGGAAAGAAAAACTGGAGGGAGGAAAGGAAGACCCAGTTCGAGTGTAGGCAGTTTGGGAAAGTGTTAGGTGGGTCAGTATGTGGAGTACCTCTCAGTTCTCTCAGGAACGGTTGCTTGCCTGGACTTGACTCGCTTTTCCCTTCCTTTTGCTTTTCCTCTGCAGACTTACCACCACAGCAGCTTGTTCCCTGGATCTGCAAAAATTCCCTCTGGACAAGCAGACCTGCAAGCTGGAAGTGGAGAGCTGTACGTATATCTTCCAAGGCCTCTTCTTTCCTACCTGGGGTCACAGTCATCCAGACACCAAAGGCAGAGTAGACAGTGACAGGGAGGGCATTATTCCCCTACTGCCTTCTTCCCCATTCTCTCTCTGTTCAATAGATGAACAGACAGAAGTATATACAAAACGTCTGGGAGAAGGTGGCCTTTCATGTGTGAATAGTCAGTCCTCCGGGGAAATTGTACTTTGCTATTGGGAAATTATGTACAAGCTAGTGGATAGGAGCACATCTCTTTGCTCTGTTTTCTTTCCTGGCTGAGAAACTCCAAAGTGAGAATTCCCTTTCCAAGTGCCCCTCTCCTCTGTGCTCAGACTCAGAAAACCTCAAAGGTGCCCCAAGAGTGCAGGTTCCGACCATCCTTTGGTTTCCACAGCCTGCCCTGGTGTGCAATCTGTCTATGCCTGCTTTCTCAGACTGACTCTGCTTCTCTCCCTCTCCCAGATGGCTACACGGTGGAAGACATCGTATTATACTGGGAAGGCAATGGGAATGCCATCCAAGGGACTGAGAAGCTGCACATTCCTCAGTTCAGCTTCCTGGGAAAGATAATGACTAGCAAAGAGGTGTTTTTCTACACAGGTGGGTCTGATCTTCTCTCCCATTTCGTCTTTCTTTTGTACCCTGGTACATTCCTGGACATCTGTCTGCCTTTGACCTCTACACTCTCTGTTGCCTCCTGTCCTATTTCCTTCTGGCTCTAGACACTTTCCAAAACCCACTTCAAATGAAGAAACGGGTGTGGAAGCACTTGGCCAAGTTTGACACTCTACAGGTGTAAAATGTTCATGCTCTTCCTGATAAAAACAGGCCTCCTCTCATGAGCCAGCCTCCCTCCCCCCCCCGCCCCCATTTGTCACTTTGAAATATTTACTATATCTCCCATTTCGAATCTCCAGTTGACATGAAACAAGTGAGGAAGGAAGGAGGAGAGAACAGACTTGCCATGCCACATGGGCCTACTGATATGCCATTGTCACGGGCCTTAAGGCGGCAGGCAAATAGGGTCAGATTGGCAGGCTGCCCAGGCTGGAATATTAGGGGCTTCCCCTCCTCCATCCTGTACTTCACCCTGAAAATCCCCTCAGCCCTGCGACCCTAATACCAGGATGTCTCCTTGCCAGGTTCCTATGTGCGCCTGATACTGAGGTTCCTGGTCCAGAGGGAAGTCACCAGCTACCTTGTGCAGATCTATTGGCCTACTGTTCTCACCACTGTTGTCTCTTGGATATCGTTTTGGATGAACTATGAATCTTCTGCAGCCAGGGTGACAGTTGGTAGGTCCTGTCCTCATCCCAGGGAGGAACTTGGATCATCTTGCTCAGAAAAAAAGTCAAGAGTAAGAGAGGAATACTTGGGGTGGTATGTGACTGCACGGGCAAGGAAGCAATATGGTGCCTGCCCAGCAGGCATTTATCCAGGGGCTTAGCCAATCCCCAGCAGAGAGCCCGATATTGCAGACAAGTGTGAAAAAAACATCAGGGCTGGGATCTTGGTATGTTGGACCCAAAGTATTAGAATGCATTATTTGCTGGATACATGAATGAACACGTCATAAATTTAGATCAGAAATGCAATACAACAAACGTTGATTAAGCAACATACCAAAACGCCCATCAAAATGGCAGTAGAGGACTTCCAGAGAAGCTGTCCTCAATGAGTATCTGGTGGAATGCTGGGATAGATACTGTGAGATGCCAAAGAAGGAAACGACCCAGATCTTGTTGGCTAAAACTGCACCAAAAAAGTCTTGCTCAGGCTGCATTTTCAAGACTTGTAGGAGGCAGAGGCATAAGACTTGTCATTCACCAAAATAGGAAATCGCTATTAAAAGGCACAGGGGCCCTAAAAGGGGACTAAGTCAAAGGGTGCCTAGGGCAGGAGCTGTGGGGAAATAGGGAGAGTCACAGAGAGACAGGAGGAGTGACTTGAAAAGACCTTGAAGTTCCAGTTTAAGCAGTTAGAACTTCATGTCCAAGCAATGGGGAGAACCAGAGGGTTTTGAGCAGTACCAGGGAGGGGCCTAGAGAATCAGCTCCCAAGTTTATCTGGTCCCAGTGTGCCCCACATCCAGGTCTGGTTTTTCCTTCACCGTCTTTGGGGCAGACTCCTCAGCCTCTTCCTTAAGGAGCACATGTTGGACTAAACCTTCAATATTTGTGTAATATTTTAAAGGCTCACAAACCTTTCTGAGGGACGTGATCTAAAAGAAAGCCTATGTGCTGGAAGGCAAAAGAGGCTGGAGATATAAGTCCCACTGTGAAACCATGGCTGGAGATTTTGGACTTGATCCGAAGAGCAATGAGAAAGTCATGGAATCATCAAAGCATGGGCTGGGTGTAGAGCTGGGGAGGAAGAGCAAAGAGAGCACTTGAGCGAAGTCCCCAGGCCTAGAGAACTGAAGGCCTTTTGCTGAGGGCCCTCCCCGCTCCAGAGATGATGGTTGCTCCCTTCCTGTAGGATGTGGGCCTGATGGCTTGCCAAGAACTTCAGCCACCTGAGGAGGCTAACCCTGCGCCATGTTCTTTATAGGTCTGACTTCAATGCTCATCCTGAATGCCATCAACTCACATCTGCGGGATAAACTCCCCCAAGTTGCCTGTATTAAGGCCATTGACATCTATATGGTCGTATGCTTCTTCTTCGTGTTCCTGTCCTTGCTGGAGTATGTCTACATCAACTATCTTTTCTACAGCCGAGGAGGATCCCGGCGCCACCAAAGGCGACACCGGAGAGCCCAAAGAGTCATGGCCCGCTACCGGGAAGTGATCCTGCAGGTTTGGCTTTCTGATTAACAATCAGCTTTCCCTGATTAGGGATTAGGCACCTTCTTAAGCCTAAACTTAGCCCTTGGCCCTTTCACATTTCTTCGTTCCTTTAATTCTCGCACAACACACACACACACACACACACGCACACATCAGATAGCAAAGAAATAGAACAATTTATCATCACTCCTTTATAGGTCAAATCATTGTTGCAAGGTCCCAAGGCAGTAAGTGGCAGAACTAGATTTTCCCAGACCTTTTGACTTCAAATCCAGTCCACTTAGCATATTTTCAAGGGCAGGTGAAGGACCCAGAGGGCAAAGGAGCACAGGGAGGCCGAAAGGAAGAGAAAGACACCAGAGGGGTTAGCCTACCCCTCCTTCCTTTGCTCTTTCAATTCCCAGAGCCGTGCTGAGACTTTTGTTGCTGGCGGTACATTAATGTCCAGCAGTGCCCCCTTCCTTCCCAGGAAGCCCAGCCACATCCGCCTGAGGAGGCCTTGCCTCCATCCACCACATAGCACTCCAGAGAGAGCAGCTGCCCCAGGAAGACGCAGGCTTGGCAGCCACCGTGGATTTCCCTTGCATGCTAACAGCCTCTTGGTCCTGTTCCTCAGCCCCTTGCACACCGGAGATCCCAGGAAGAGATGATTCTGTCAGTGGAAGAGATCAACAGTCACATTGCAAGTGCTGATGAGGAAAGCCCTCTCCCTCTTCCTCCCTCCCCACCACCAGTGCTTATTCATGTAGAATATGAACCTCCTGACTTCAGAAATCTATCTACTATCTCCTTGAAGGATGCCCAGGTTAGCATAGAAGATGAAAGTGACTCTCTTTCCTCCAGACCAGTGCAGGCCTGCCTGGCAAGCCTAGAAAGCCTCAGCTCTTTGATCTCCATCCCAGAGCAGGCGCCACTGGCCACCTCAGAAAGCTTCAGCTCACTATCTTCTCTCTCAGAGCAGGCCTGGCTGGCCTCTAGAGAAAGCCTGAGTGATCTCCCCTCCACCTCAGAGCAGGCCCTGCCCAGCTATGGCATTCGCTTTAATGGTTCTGAGATTGATGACAGTGTTATTCCTACTGAAATCCGCAACCGTGCTGACGCCCACGGCCATGCTGATACCCGTGACCCAGAAGACCCTGAAGAGAACACGAGCTCAGATGAGAGTCATGGCCATGGCCCTAGTGGGAGGCATCTGCTTGTCTATGGTCACAGGTGTGTGCAGGAAGCAAGCTGCAGCCTTGATGAGATCCATAGCAACCTTAATGAGATTCGTAGCAACCTTGATGAGATCCGTAGATTGCCTGATGACATCAGAGTTGAGAGCGGCTACCTTGACCTTGAGAAGCAACTCAGGTGTGATCTTAACAGTACCTGGAGCCTTAATGTTGATGATTTCATGGGCTTTGACCAAGGCCAGGACAGTAACTCAGAGTCTGATGACAGTTGCCCCCCGAGTCCTGGGTGCTCCTTCAGTGAAGGGTTCTCCTCCAAGCTCTTTGACCCTGACTATGTCCCTGAGGTTGACAGGTGGTCCCGGATCCTCTTCCCTCTTGCCTTTGTGGTGTTCAACATTGTCTACTGGGCATTTCATATCAATTAGTCCCATAGGGCCCCTTTCATGGTTCCTCTTGATTCCATTTTGCCTTCTTTTCTTGGTTCATTTTATTTTGTGGTTATTTGGGCAGTTGAATTAGTTCTGCCTTTCTCTTTATAAACATGAGGTGGGAAGTAGTTGAAAAGGATGTGTTCTAGCTGGAAGGAAAGGGATTGAGGAGGACTTGGAGGTAAATAGCACATTGATTTTCCTTTTTTGCTAGAAGACTATCACCTTTTCAAAGACTTCTAATATCTATGAAGCACAGAAAAGCCCCTGGAAATGTTTGGAGGACAAAGCCAGGCTGGGAGACAGAGGAAGGATCCAAGCCCTGCGCATAAGCATTTCTGAGGGTTTTGCTGCCCCCGACCATGTGTTGAATTTTCTTTTTCATTACTTTTTTTATTCTGTTTTTCCCTCCTAAGAATTTAGTCCTTGCTCACCCCCTGATTAAGGTTTTACAGGAGAAAGTCAAGCTGGGCTGAGCAGGGGTACACAGGGGAAGCACTAGCCATGGCTTGAAAGTGCAAGGGGCTGGCTCTAGGCAACTTGGGGAGATCTCTTCCCCACTATTGTTTTCTGTTGTATGTCGAGTGTGGTGTTGTGGTGTGGGGTTGGGAGTGGAATGTGGGTGGGTAGGGGTACTGAGTGAGATGTCAGGGTAAGTGAGAGATCATGTTTCCAGCAGGAGCTTGCAGGGGGTGATGAGGTCAAGTTGGAGATTCCCAGATTGAACTGGCATCTTTGGAGGGATTGGAACTTCTCTTGTCTATAATTCTGCTTCACAATTCTTGATAATACAGACTGGGTACTGGGTACGTCTGTCTAGGTCAGATGCTGACTTGATCACTAGTGACAGAGCAAGCACTTGCTGAACGAAGACGAGGGTCAGGAAATTTCTGACTTGCTATTTCCTCACCTGGTCTAGAACAGCAGACGAACAATTGTTGTGAATCTCTGTAGTAACCCTGTGTGTCTAGTGCATAGCAAATGTCAACAAGCTCACTGACCCATCACATTGTTATGCCCTCACAGGAGCCCAGTAAGCCAGGGAAGGCAGAGCACATTGTCCCCAGTGTTCCAAGGGGAAAAAAATGGAGCTTATGTATCATGCCTACGGACGGTAAGTGGTAGAAGTAGTAAGGTAGTAAGTGGTAGAGCCGCTCCACTTGCTCTTCTTTCTTCTTATCCTCTTAACTCTCTCAACTAAAGTGCTCCCCTTTCTCCTGCCCTCTTTACAAATGGGGGTGCTCCATCAGGTTCTGCTTCTTTGCCAGGCCCCAGACCTCATTACATAGCACCTGGAACATCTCTGCAGGAAGTGGCCAGTGACCAGCCAGTGAGTGTGCCTGCACTCCAACTTTCCTAGCAGCTCCACCTCATTAATGGAGGCCATGGGGGAACAAGACTTGCCAAGCACTCGGCCTATGTTTCTCCTTCCTGCCTAGGCAGCCTCTCCTGCAGCCCCTCAGCCACCTACCCTTTTAACTGTGTTTCTGTGTTTGTGTTTCTGTGTATAGCCGAGTAATTCTGTATGTACATACAACCGCTTTGAGAAGCTGTACAGCTCTATGGATATCGATGTAAATCTATATTGGTGTGTATAAGAGTGTATATATAACAACGTGTGGATGCGTGTTTGTGTGTGCACACCCCTGTGAAAGAGTGTGTGTGCCTGTGTGTATGCACATGGGTATATGCTATGTGTATATGAGAGCATATGTGCACACCCATGTTTATTCATCTGATTTGAATGAGTGTGAAAGGAAATCCACCCAAAAGCATATGTATTTCCTGTCGGTGGCTCTTCTAGAACCACCTGAATTCCTTTGGCCTGTTCTCACCTAAGTGGGGGGCCATATTTGGCCGGGCTGGTTAACTGACTGTTTCTTTCCAATTCCCTGTTCCAGGGGGCAGTGTCTCCCGGTCCCCAGTCACTCTTCTCCTCCTTCCTCCACCCATCTGTGCTGTCTCCTGGACAGAAGACACAGGAGAAGTGAATGTAGTCCCAGGAAGTGACAGTTTAGTGCCTTGAGATAGGAAGTGCTCAAACATGGGATAAGCTGGGAGTGTAGAGCATTTTGCTTTGTCCTGAAACGACATGTTTGAGTAACAAAGGCAGGGTTTGGGTGTGTGTGTGGGGGGGGTGCCTTGAAGATGCATTAAGAACAGATACATGATGTAGACAATGGGTGGGGAAAGCTAAAGAACTAGAGAGGGACTTGTGTATAGCCTTTGTAACTCATCCCCTTATTGCAATCACATTGTAAGCCCGACACGTGTGGGGGCTGAAGGCAGCCAAAAGCATGTGGGTGATGTGAGGAAATAGCCCAGGGCATCAACTGCAGCACTGGATGCAGAGAACCAAAGGTGTTTGGGAGAGGGCTGCAGGCATGGACAGTGGGGGTGGGCCCTTTCGGGGGCAGGAGCACTGTAGTAACCCATCCTGCATCTTGGGATGGCCTTGGATTTGGAGTCCAGAACTCCCTCCTCCCACCCACTCCGGGGAAAGGGATCATCAGAGGGGTGAGAGGATTGACCAAGGAGAGAGGGGCAAAGGAGCCCCAGGGTGTGACTACCTAGACCAGCCCGGTTTGCCATCTCTCTTCTTTTCTATACACACAGCATACACATATAGCCTCCTACACATACACGCCCACAGAGACCCACACAGTCACGCATACATGTACACACATGTGGGCACTCACTCTCAGCACCAAACAGAGGTATACACAAACACATGCACGCTCACAGCCACATATATATTCACATCCACAGTCACACACGATTACCCTCATATTCGTGTGCATGCACACACACAAACTTTTAAAACAGCTAAAAATAAAAAAAGTTGCCACTGGAATATCTAAGATTGCCTCTCTCTTTTTGGACACCTCTCACAGAAAGATCCAGGTTGGGAGGAGAGAAATGACCCCCACATCTGAGGCTCCCATCATGACTATTGAAAGACTTGCTTCCTTGAGCCTGAACATTGGTTGATTGATTGGGATTTGGGTTTCCAGAACCCTGGGGGGCTTTTGAGCCCTGTGGGAAATGAGCGGTTTATTTGGGGTGATGTCATACAAAGAGATTGGAGCAGTGGGGACCAGAAAGTAAGTTTGAAGATGTGTCTCACAGCAAAGCACAGGAAGGCTTCAAGCACAGAAGAGGGGCAGAGAGGCCAGTTGTAAATATCTCTGTAGATCCATGTAGCTAGATAAAAATATTTATATCTTAAAAAGAACATCTTGCCCTAAAGTGCTGCAATGAGAGCAGTTGAACTCGACTGCAACTCACACTGTGTGAGGTTATGTGTCAAGGTGAGGTGGAGGTTTGGCAATGACTTGGTTGTTTTAGCCTGAAAATTGCCAGATCTCCCCTTGTTGTGTTCTGTGTGTTCTGTTGTCAGCGTCATTATGGAGCCCCATCCTCAGCTAGCTGCCTACATCCCGCCCCACTCCTCACTCGCACCAAATAACTCTGGAAATGCAGAGCATCTGGCAGGGCACTAATAGGGTTCAGCCCACAGAGACTTTCTCAGCCCCAGCCAATCAGAGAGTGCTTGTGGTGAGAGAATTTGGAGCTCGGGCAGAAGGAAGGATCTCGGTGAGTCTGGGATGGAGCAACCCTCACTTCACTTTTCTACCTATCTTTCCTCTTCCTCGCATGGGCCATCCCATTAACTTTCCCCCTAGAATTCCTTCTCCACCACTACCCCAGGAAGGCTACCCTCTGTCTCTTCAGAGCGGCATTTTGTTCTAAGGACCTGGGGCTTTACAGAGATAACGGATGATCTGTTGGGTCTTACTGGAGCTTGTAAAATGTATTCTTACAGTCTGTGTGATCTTGTTAATAGCAAGGCTGTAATGTCTTTGCATATTTAGAACTGAGCTTTCTGAGACTGTGGCCATTCCTAATGAGGTGTCTTTATTCTGTACATAAAAGAACTAACCCTTTGAGCTATTAACTAATGAATGCATTTGCTAAGCTATCAACCTGCATGGTGCCTTGCCGTGGTAATGAGCATCAAAGGAAATCGTGACTTGTCCTACTGAAAGTGCAGTGTGTTTGTGTTTGTTGTGTAGTGTCCTGTGATCAATATGAAATCTCTATCATCAGTGTTGGGTTTTCAGGGTAGGGAGGGGGGAGGGTGTCACAGTGTCTCTCTGATATATTTCAATTATAAAATAGGCCCAGTTGGTCAGGGTCACCTCTGTTAATTCAACATGTGTGAGACTTTGCACCCACTATATCTTGCCGGACTGTATCCCTGGGGTCAGGAGTCGTCAGCAGAACTGAAGGTGCCCGAGTGTAGCGAGACTGGCTGTGGTGCCTGACTTTGGACAGTGCCAGAGAATTCTTCAGATAGGCAAAGCCGTGCCATTCTGAGGCAGATGAAATACAGTAAAACCACAAACATGGAGGTCTTCAAGGAAACCAAGAGAGGAGGAGGACCAAGACCCACGTGTCTTATTGGCCTGACCTGCAGAAGGGTGCAGAACAGCAGAGACCCCCCCACCCAAGATGACCCAGTTCCCTCTTTGTCTTCATTAAATGTACATTTTTGCATGAAAAAGACCTTGACCAGGCTGGACTTCAAAGAAGGAAAACAAGAAGAAACATAAAATTATGCTTCTGAAAAATATGCTGAAATAAAGGTTTATAAATAGTCAAAAGGAGAAAATAAATATATATAATGGCAAATACACTTACCGGTTGTTGTGTTTCCTCTCTGTCTGATTGGAAAGGAGTTCCACCTGGGCCCAGGAAGCCTCTGGTTTCCACTGTTCACCTTAGCCTCCCCAAGGCTTTGCACATTGACCTACTCATACCCTAAGATATTTGAATCCATGGTTTTCAAGCAGAGTGGAAATAGTAATATACAACTGAAATTACTTTACACTTTCGCACAAGCTATTTTAATCATTTAAAACAAAAGGCACGTGTTGTGATGAGCCCTGGGTGTTACACGCAACTAGTGAATCGTTGAACACTACGTCAAAACTAAGGAGGTACTATATGCTGGCTAACTGAACATAATAGAAAATAAAAGTAAATAAATAATAAATAAATAAATAAAACAGAAATTGTAAAACAAGTGAAGCCATTGTAGTGCCAAAATATAATGTGAACATTTATTTCCATTGGCAGGGGGATCTTTATTAAGAACATTAAAAAAATCTCTTTTGCCAATGTGGATGTACAGAATAGAGAGCAAGAAAGCCCTATGGGGGTGCAAAGAGGGCATGCTCAGGTTTTAAAAACTTTGTAGAGTCCTGAACATTGTTAGAGCTTGGGGTTGAGGCCCCTGGCTGGCCAATGAACTCACAAGTGTAGGTAGCGTGCTGCTGCTACTGGAGGGTACCACAGGGTCTCTGGCCCAATGAGTGGAGTTTGATAGTAATTCTTGCTATAAGTTTAAAAAAATAATTAAAATAATAAAATAACTTTTA